AACATTAGAGATTTAATTAACTTTGCCAAAACATCAGTTTGAACTTTATGCATTTTTTTTAATACTAAACAAACATCTAAAGTTGTTAAGCTGTTTTGCTAAACTGATATTTTGGATGTGGCTTTTCCTTTTAAACTATTACTCGTTTTTAGCTTATTTAAACTTGTTCGTTTTTTGAGCCTAGTACGATAACTAACCATACAGGTTTTATGAGTATTACAAGCGTATCTCCTCGAGTTGCTTATCTAATACAATGTTGAAAATATTATAAATATTTTAATTTATCGCTAACAACCTTCACTAAAAAGTAATTTTAAAAACAACATCAACTATAAACTTACTGTTTTATTATGTCTTTTTTTTAGTTATTGTAATTTTTTAAATTATTTTCTAATTTTTCAGGTATTCTGAATCAATAATCAAAATTGAAGTGGAAACGGATGATAACTACGAGACAGTGTTCAAAACTGATAAAGTCGACGAGGGGAACAATGAAATAACTGAAACATTTACAAAAGAAACAAAATCGACCAACATTGAAAAACCCTATAATAGTTGCGTCACACCACAGAACGAACTTCTAAAATCATTTGACGGGAATATTTATAAGTAATTCTTTTTAAAATAAATATTGTAATATTAAATTTAATATTGTGATAATAAAATATCGCACAGTCGCCACAAACGAAGAACCCTTTCACTGATAGCGTGTAGTACATCATTCATTAACATGCATTACTCGCTGCTGGTATTATCTATTTCAATTTCGATATTTTAATTAAATGTTTTTAGTAACAGAGAACTGTGCAATACAACGGTGGTTAAAGTCGAAGTTGATATGGTAGATGGACATTATTACGAATCCTTGATTGAAGTTGAAGAAAATGGGCTTTTGGATTTGAAAACGACCGCCCAACGCATACCTCGATCACATAGTGCATATTCATCGACCCAGGAAAGATCTACAAAACAGGTCTTCAATAAAAATATTTTGTAAGGCAATACATATAACATAATAAATTATTACTGGTATATTAAATTTAATAAAAAAAGTAGAGAGTTGCGAGTAAAACCCTGAGAGATATTCAATTTTTTTCTTCTTCTTCTTCTTCGTAGTTTACGGCCTTTAAGACCAAACTGACAAACACATGCCATGGCATCTCTCTCTATCCTGCGCTAGGACTTGCCAATCAGCATCCGGTTCAACCCGCTCCACATCTTTTGACACCTGGTCTTCCCACCTCAACCTGGGTCTACCAAGTGGTCTTACGCCTTCTGGAGAGCCACATAGTACCCTGTGTATAAGGGCGCTTTTTTTTCGCCATGCGTGGCCAGCTCAAAAGAGGCGCCTCTTTGTTATATCGTCGACTATGTTTGGTTTCTGATATGGCTCCCTGATCTTCACATTATGTCTAATTCTCCATTCTCCTGTATTCCTACAAAAGTTCTATACAGTTGTACCTTTAGACTCTTAGACAACAATCTTTTGACTTGAACAGCTTGTCCAATCCAAAATAGCATCTATTGCCTGCCTGTATTCTTGCGTTTATCTCCTCTTGTATTTCATTGTTCTGAGTTATAAGTGTACCTAGGTACTTGAACTTCTGAACTCTGTTACATCTGAGAGATATTCAAATTTTTATAGAAATTATTGAATTTGCTTGAATATACAGTTTCGTAATTGTATATTTATCAATCTTTATAGATGATCCAAAATTATATTCAGTTGGATTTTTTGTAAAACAAACAAATTTACATCTCCCAATCTCAAAATAAAACATTTAGCAATAATATACAAATGTGAAAAGAATATTACTTTTTTAAACTTTTTTTTTTTTAATTTAAGGTTTTGTATTTTGTTATAGGGCACACTCTGGTGAGAAGTCCTACAACTGTGAGGTGTGTTCTAAGCCATTTTCTAAAAAATCTGCCCTAAAAGTTCACGAGCGCTTGCACACTGGGGAAAAACCCTTTAAATGTGCTATTTGCCTAAAACCATTTTCATGTAAAAGCTACCTCACAATACATGAACGAGTACACACTGGCGAAAAACCCTATACATGTGCTGTATGTCTTAAGTCATTTTCACATTGAAACAACCTTACAATACACGAACGATTGCACACTGGTGAAAAACCCTATAAATGTGCTGTATGTTTAAAGTCATTTTCTGAAAAATCACATCTCACCAAACATTGTAGAGTGCACACTGGGGAAAAACCCTACAAATGTGATATTTGCCTAAAATCGTTTTCTCAAAAGTTCCATTTCACTGTACATAAAAGAGGACACTCTGGGGAAAATCCGTATACGTGTGCTGTATGTTTGAAGTCATTTTCTGGAAAATCACAACTCGACAAACATGAACAAACATATTATTATTGTGGTATCGGCCGCCGTGTATAGTGTCGTGTATTTAGCCGTAATCTTGAAATCCACTTTCACAAAACACGAACTCGTGCACACTGCTGAAAAGTCCTACTAATGAACAATTTCAAATGGAAACGAAACTTTTTATAAAATGAGACCAATTTGCAGAGGATTTGCGCCCAAATCGAAGATCCAACCATAGACGAAAAACTAGAGGCGATAAAGAAAATTCCATTAAAATATTTTTAAAAAAAACATATAGCTTAGCCATATGCACATATTTCCTTGTTTTTTAGTAATTAATATTAAATTTTTTTTAATTTTTAAATAGTTATAATTGTATAAAGAAAAATGTGTTGTAAATAAAAAAAAAATACATGTAAATAAAGTTAAAAAAAATTTTTTTTTGGTAAATTTTCTAATTCTGTTTAAGACGGGAGCTGGGAGTTTTTATTTAATCATTCTTGCGCTAATTGAAGCTGGAAAATCCATGCTAAGGGTAACTGTTTCTTCTGGTGCCTTCTTTAATGAAATTCAGGAGGCAATCATCTATGACAAAAGTATACCCTTAGTGTACACCCAAAATATTCTTATGGATGACATAAATGGTAATTGGGACTCTTGGAAAATTGAAAATTACTGTAAAAATAAAAATAGTAGCTATTGTTATGTTACCAAACAAATCTTATCTTAATTAAAGAACGTCAATAGTAATATTAGAGATAGTAAGAGAGGTATGGATGATGTTTTCAACAAAATATCAAATTCAGGTAAACGAAACAAAAGAGGGTTTCAATCTTTAGGAAACTTTTATCATTTTCGTTGTAATATAGCAACAGAAAAACAAATTGAACATTTTTACACTAATGAAGAAATGTTAAAAGAACAAATGGACCAATTTAAAAATGTATTTGTATCAGATTATATCGATTTAACTAGGATAGCGTCACAATTAAATAACCACTATTGATAGGTTAGGGTTATTAAAAGAGACATTTAAACAATTAGAACAAGAAGAAAAAAATTGAAAATGCTAATAATAAAAATATGATTTAGGGAATTCAGAAAATAAACTTTAATATTTTAACAGTGATATTAAATTTTATTTATTATGAAAGGGAAACTAACACTCATCTACATTGCAAAATGGGGAAAATTCCACCTAGAATTTTAAAAATTGACGTTCTGAATGATGATTTAAAAAGATTGGAAAAACAATAAAAAAAGACGGAGACGAATTTGTCAGTTCACTTAATAATATACATACATACATACATATTATAATCTACCAATAGTTGAATTGTATAGTTCTATCACTAAAATGTGTAGAATTTACATTTAAAAATTTACCATTGGAAAGAATAAATCGATATTGTTACTTCCAATGTGTGAAACAACAAAAGGATAGGAAATAATATGTTAAGGGAAAAATTTTAATAAAAGGGATTAAATTTTAAGTATTTGTATTAAAAAAAAAAAACGAAGTTACAAGCTAATGAATCCACTCACTTTCCTCATAACAACTACAGATTTTCTTTTATTCACAAAAAATAAAGGAACTCGTCTTTTCTTTTTTAACAACATTGTAAAAAAAATATATAATAATAACATAAAGATGAGTTTAAAAAAAATACATATAAAAGAAAAAAAAATATTTAACTGACAGTATATTATTTATCGATATAACTATTTGCGCAAAGAAGATTTATGAGCACAAACGGTTTAAATCTATAGATCACAAAAATGTGGTTGATTTATCTAACGTAAGACACTCGTTTTCTTTGAATTTAATGCTAAGTAGAGTAATTTTCATTCAATGATTGCGATTGAATTTTATTTAACGATACACCGACACTTCTAAAACTATGTAGGTACAAAATAAGTACATAATCAATCTAAGTCAAGGAAAATTCATAGCCCTTTATAGTTTGGTGGTATCTATTTCAGCCACCATCTACAGGACTTAATTTAAAAAGAAACATTGATGTTCCCTTAAACAAAAATGATACAAATAGGGAGTAGAATGGTAATACTATTCTAAAAGAAGGTTTTAATGAAAAAAATAGTTCTGCCCATTTAGGGTATTTTTACAAGTGGCCTTCATATATGCCATAGTATGGATAATTTCCGAACCATTACAACAATTCTGCGCGTCTGCCGTACGAATAAAAGTGGTTTTCATAGAGGCCACTATCACACAAAGGGTTAAGTTAATATTTTGTAAAAAAATGCTTGTACTTTACTCCTTAAAAATGGGCGGTGTATAAAAAATCTGGACCAATTATCGGTCATGCGACGTCCGCCATCTTGAATGTCCAAGTAAACGTTCTCTTGAGACCTAGGTCCAAATGGAGTGTCCTGATCATTGCGTTATTCCAAGTCCTCGTATATTGAAATATGTACAAAACAATATGATTAAAAATAAGATTAACGAACAAAATAGGACAAATAGTTAACAAAACAACAAAACGACGTTAGAAATGGAGTGTTCGGGGAAAAGGGCGTCGTGCGTGATGTGACTAGGTCGTAAGAGTCGAGCGAATGGCGGACCGAAGATGGCTGATGGCTGGTAGTGGTACCAACTGACACCGCGTTGCCAGCGTTTCACCGCGGTAGAGTAGGAGTAGGTGATACCAACCTTTAGCCACAGTTATTAAACGCAATATCTATAATCGGGTTAGCTAAACTAACAGTATAATACAATATTTTACTACAAGCGGTACAGAGCGCTGTTGATTCCCACGTCTCTAGTCATCCATCATTTGGTCGTAGTTTGTGTCTTTGTTAATTCGTGTTTACATGTATGGCAATGTAGCAGTGTTCTTGTTACATTTGTCACGTAGTTTATTTTAAAGTGTAATTGCACACCTAAACGTTTAGTTTCGTTTGTACGTTTAAAATACTAAACTAGATTTATAGTGGCTACTTTATAACCAATTGAAAAAATACAAAATAAATCGTTACAATAAATTAAAAATCAAACAAATTGTATCATTTAGGTTACTATAGGAGGTTTAAAAATATATTAAAATATATTATTAAGTACATAATAATAAACTATTCGTGTATATTATCTAAGCGCACGGCAGTACGCCAGCCAAGTTCTAGCAATACCAGTGTATTTTTACACGAACTAATTCACCCGGTATTTCTAACTCTCATATCTCTGCTACTTCTTATGATGGATACTTATGATGGCTTTTAAAATTTGAAACCTAAATTAAATTAAAATAGTTAAGGACACTGTCTAAAATTAAAGCCCTAATATTTAGCCGTTTTAAAAATGGGAGGATTTTAAAATTTGCTCACTCACTCAGTCATTCATCATCAAAATTATAAGACACTTCCAGTATAGGCAGAAACGTGAAATTTGGCACAAAAGTGAATCTTATGGTGTAAGTAAAGGGAAAAATCAGAAAATTGAAATTTACTCAAAATTAATGCGCTAGGTGGGGGGGATTAATGACCTTCGCCGCACTACAAGCGGCACAGGGCGCTGTTAATTCCCACGTCTCTAGTCAGCCATCATTTGGTCGTAGTTTGTGTCTTTGTTAATTCGTGTTTACATGTATGGCAGTGTAGCAGTGTTCTTGTTACGTTTGTCACGTGGTTTATTATTAAGTGTAATTGTACACCTAAACGTTTAGTTTCGTTTGTACGTTTAAAATACTAAACTAGATTTATAGTGGTTACTTGTATAAATGCTAGCTTCACTAATTTATTAATTAAATTGCACTATATTAATTTTGACTAATTTAATTACTATCGTGGTTTATTAATAATTAATAAATTATTAATCACTATGCAAGTAGCTACTTGTATAAATTGTAGCTTCATTACAAAGTGTAGTTTTATGTACATATAAACATATACATCATGTACATTTCTACGTAGTTGATATAACAACACGTTAAAACAAGAGAAAATCTACGACGTACAATATACATTCAATGCCTTTTAAAAAAAAACCTCGCCCGCAAAAAGAAATGATATCTCCAACAAAAACCTAACAGTGAAAAAAGGCCAAGTTCCACGCCCCTCCCAAAAATGTCAACCTATCAAAGTAGTGTTATCTACATTGTAGCCAAGTCTGCTATTTCTTTAGTTCATAACCACACTTCACTCCTACTTGCATGAGCAACAATGCTCTTTTATATGTATTGCTTAACACTTGGCCGCCATAGTCTTGAGCTTGATGTAAACATTCTTGTGCTAACTCCAAGTCGGCTTGCGCCGAAGCCAATTCAGATAGTTGTCTCCATTTCTGAGGACTTGAAGCTTCTTTCACCAATACCAAAGCTTTGGCCAAGTTTTGTAGTTCAATAGCTAGTTTAAATTTGTGTTCAACATCAGTTGATACGACTAACGCTTGCTTTTTGTAACCCTGAAAATTAAAAATAAATAACAGTGTTTAAGATGTGTGACGGAATGGTCTTGATGGCCGAAAAATCCAAGAAGAAGAACAGTTTTTAAGACTTGACAAAAAACAGAATTTATTTTTATTTTTATATTCCTCGTTTTTTTAAGAAATGGGCCAATCTTGTCTAGTATTGAGACGGCACCGATGGTAGAATACGATATGCTATTTCAAAGTCTTTTCACATGACTATCGTTTTGTGTTCCAGCAAAGACACTAGTAGGCTATAAGAAACAATGTTAAGTTTTTTGTCGCCAAAATAAAGACCATTTTCATTGGCTACGTATCCCAAGAGATACATTGTACGATCGAGATAAGATACAGTCTTACTTTTTTATAGTTTCTTATTTAATTGTTATTATTAACATTTATATTTATATTTTTTTTCTTTCACTCTTGTATTTACCCTTAGCTTATAGTTTTTTATACATTCTACTACTCTACTTTGGGCACTGCCTGTGAAGTGATAACAAAAAAATGTAAAAAAGAAGTTATCAAATAATTGTATAAATATATATTTTAAACAAATTACAATAGTCATTATATACAATTATGATGATTATGTAGTTTTGTTTAATCATTACAAACACTAGTGTCGAGTAGCTTACAATTTTTAACGTGCACTGATTAAACACAATATCTAACAATATAATTAAAAATACATTTTGCTCTAGAAGTATATAAACACGTTTCAATAAACATTGATTGAAATAAGTAACGCACATATACACAATTTTATGTTAGTAATAAAATAAAAAATATATTACTATATAATTTTAAGTTAAAATTTATAAACTTCGATTATTGAGAAAATAAACTTGAGTAAATATATTTTTAAGGGTAATCAATCAGAGTGTACGCGTTTGTTGTGTTTTGTGAGGCTTGATTTATCAGTAAACGACTTAAAACATACAGCACATTTGTAGGGTTTTTCACCAGCATGTACTCGTTCATGTTTTGTGAGATTTCCGTTTAAGGAAAACGATTTTAAGCAGACCGCACATTTGTAGGGTTTTTCTCCTGAGTGCACTCGTTTGTGATTTGTAAGCGAAGGTTTTTCAGAAAATGATTTTAAACATACCAAACACTGAAAGGGCTTTTCTCCAGTGTGCACGCGTTTATGTTTTGTGAGGTCTGCATTTGAATAACACGACTTTAAACAAACAGTACATTTATAAGGGTTTTCTCCAGTGTGCACGCGTTTATGTTTTGTGAGGTCTGAATTTGTATAAAATGACTTTAAACAAACATCACATTTATAAGGTTTTTCTCCAGTGTGCACGCGTTTATGTTTTGTGAGGTCTGAATTTGTATAAAATGACTTTAAACAAACATCACATTTATAAGGTTTTTCTCCAGTGTGCACTCGTTCATGAGCTGTTAGATTATATTTTTGAGAAAACGACTTTGAGCAAACAGCGCATTTATAGGGCTTTTCCCCATTGTGTACTCGTTCGTGTTTAGTGAGTAGTGATTTACACGAAAAATCTTTAAAACAAACATCACATTTGTAGTGTCGGATGATGTTTTTGGTGAATGCTCTAGTATATTTATTGTTATGTATAATGCTATTTTTTAGGGTAGAATATTGGTTATTTGAACTTTTGTGGGATTTTACTATATGTAATGTTATTTGCTTTTTAGTACGGTACGACGTTTGACAAAAATCGCAGTGGAATATTCGTCGTTCTTTTATATATTTATTGTCATTCTTTCGTGCTATTTGATTATTGACACCTTTTTCAATCCAAGACTCGACTTGACAACCATCAGTTTGTTTATTCCCTTCATAACTCGTATCATTGACTCTACAACAAAACATGTCAGACAATAAATAATAATGTTTAAAATAATTATAAACTTCTCACGTTAGGACATATTATGTTAATACCCTTTTCTATTTACACCTATGCAATTTGTGTTTGATAAGTTTTTTATTTTATTGGACCTAAAATTATCTTTGACTATAAGTATTAATGTATAAAAATATTGATAATTATGCTGTTTTCATCCCGCGTGGAAGCTTAATTTTTAACGTTGTATCTCTCTCTTTTATTATTTATTCTATTTGTAAGGAAAACAGTTGATAAGTCTTACAATAAGATAGTTAGAAAACGTGTGAAACATTTACGGACGAATTTCTATTTTCAACTATAAAATACTATATAATTAGTATATGAACGTGAGTATCCCACAGCTTTTTACTTGCCAATATCTACTTCATTTTTTCTTTATTAAAAATTGAAAGGCAACTTTAACTGCTAATTTACAAGTTTAATAAATTGTTGTATCGTGATTTATACAGTACATATTTAAATAATAAGAGATGTAATGAATAAGAAGAATATTTTTACTACTTCGTTTTAACGAAAAAACATTTTAAGAAAATTGATAAATTAAATGAAACTGCCTTACGTAAGACGATTTTTGATAACTTGAGTTGCAGTGTTTTTCTGTGTTGATGCATGTGCATTATGTAATCGAATTATGTGCTGGGTCACTCTCCGTTTAGTGTTAAAATACATCTTACATAAATCACACGCAAATTGCTGTATTTTGTCCAAACCGTTTTTAGTAGGTTGCACATCTAAAAGACCATTATTTTCAACTTCAATCACGGACTCGAAATAATGTCCGTTCAATAAATCGGCTTCGACTTGAACTATCGTTGTATTAATCACTTTTCTGTAACTAAAAAAAAGAAATATTTATTTCAAATCTTTAAAATTAAATATATAATATTGCTAAGAAGCGAGTATTATAGAAAAGTATACTTCGCGCTATCAGTAAAACAATTCTTCGTTTGTAGTGACTGTGCGATCTTTAACATTAACTTTGTATATAGGTATTTAGTTATAATATGTAATCAGAAAAACGAATTACTTGTATATATTCCCGTCAAATGTTTTTTGAAGATGGTTCTGTGCTGTCACATAACTATTATATGATTTATCAATATTAGTTGAATTTGTTTCTTCTATAGAAATTTCAGTTAATTCCTGTTTCATATCTTCGTCGTCTTTATGAATTTTGTTCTCTATGCCATGGTAATAACCGTCTGTTTTGTCTTCAACTTTGATTTTCAAATCAACATCGCTGAAAAATAAAATATAATTAAAAAAAGTATACTAATTAAAAAGAATCAGAAAATCTGTAAAATTAAGTTATAATAGAACTAAAAAAAAACATAATAAAAAAGTATGTTAATAGTTGATGTTGTTGACATTAGTTGGATGTAATTAAAGTATTAAAATTTCTAAGAATTATATTGGTTAAATTTTATACTTGGATATGTTTTAAATATTGGTTATTGAGAATAGTGTCATAGTTTTAAAATAAGGAAATATACATCAAATAAATGTATAAGTAACATCAATACTTGTATTTAAAATATATTATTATAAAAATTATATTACTTGTATTCATTCGCGTCGATTGTATTTTGTTGCTCTTTCCATTGTTTATTTTCTGCTTCTACCTCAAAAATAGACTTATAATAATAATCGTCCGTTTCTCCTACTTCAATTTTAATTCCTCCTGCTTCATTAAGTCTATAAAATAGAGTAAATTGTTTTAATTAGTATCGATTCTTCTATATTTACATTGTCGAAATAATTATTAATATTTTATATAATAGGAAGTATGTCGCAATATAAATATGTTGTTTATCTTTATAATAAAAATACTTAGTTAGTAAACAGGAAAATGTTATTAGAAAACCAAGATTTCTTTTTTAACACCTATTTTTGTCAGACTTGTGGTTTTAGGTTGTTTGTAAGAGCTCAGGGCTTATTCTATCTGTAACTTTTTTTATGTGTATAACGGGTGTATTATTGTTACACTGTTTTGTTATATTCTATGTAATAATATTATCTATCATTGTAATTACTATATGTGTTTGACAATAGTAGCACAGATTAGATAATCTGTCTTATCTTATTTTTGATAGTAGTGTGTTAGGTTAGGAGAGTAATGAATGTTATTATAGAAAAGTGTACAACGCGCTATCAGTAAAACGATCTTTTAATTATTACTTTGTATTTAGGTATTTAGTTATAATATGTAATCAGAAAAACGAATTACTTGTATATATTCCCGTCAAATATTTTTTGAAGATCGTTCCGTGCTGTCACACGACTATTATATAATTTTTCAATGTTACTCGATTTTGTTTCACTTATAAAGGTTTCAGATAATTCCTTTTTCATATCTTCATTGTCTTTATCAATTTTGTTCTCTATGCTATGGTAATAACCGTCTGTTTTGTCTTCAACTTTGATTTTCGAATTAACAACGCTGACAAATAAAATATAATTAAAAAAATTATAATAATTAAAAATAATCAAAAAACCTGTAAAATAAACTTATAATGAGAACTAAAAAAATTAGGTGTATTTAAAATATTTAATTCTAAAAGTTATTTCTGATATTTTATATTTTTTTAATTATTGGTTTTTGACAATAGTGACAAAGTTTTAAAATAAGAAAATATACATTAAAAAATGTATTTAATTGTGTCCGGATACTGAAAATAAATGATTATTATGGGTGACCACAATACTTATTTATTACCATATATTTAAAATATTTTATTCTAAAAATTATATTACTTGTATTCATTCGCGTCGATTGTATTTTGTTGCTCTTTCCATTGTTTATTTTCTGCTTCTACCTCAAAAATAGACTTATAATAATAAACGTCCGTTTCTCCTTCTTCAATTTTAATACCTCCTGCTTCATTAAGTCTAAAAAATGGAGTACATTTTTTTAATTAGTATCGATTCTTCTATATTTACATTGTCGAAATAATTATAAATATTTTATATAATAGGAAGTATGTCGCAATATAAATATGTTGTTTATCTTTAACAAAAAAAATACTTAGTTAATACATGTTTAAAATAAATATAATAAATAACTATAGATATGCACTGTAGAAGTTTGGGAAATTATATAGGTATATAAAACAATAATTATCACTAAATGTAAATCTAACCGCTCATGTTATGGAAAAGTAAACAATTATTTGAATACGAACCAGACTGTCCTAAGACAAATACTTTTAAAATAACAAGTCTATTACTCCAAGGATTTTGTCATAGAATGTCTGTACTCATTTTAATTAGGTTATGGTTTTTTCTTAACAAAATGTGTAAAATAACTTAATTAAAAATTGTTATTACTCTATGCATCGTTGTCAATTATTTTTTGAGGATCATTGTGGATTGTCTAAAAACTGTTTGAATACGTCAGATAAATTTTTTAACATGTCACAAGATGTTGTAATGTTGGTAATTGTTTTGTAACCACTCTATGCGGGAAATATGCTTCTTTGTGGAAGCGTATTTTGTCTTAACAATATTTGGACGGCTCTCAAATTTTTGATTTGACTTATTTATCCAACCGAGCTATATTGTAATTTAATAACAATATCATAATTACCTATATGCATTTCCATCAATAATTCTTTTATAATCGTTTTGGTTTGTCGTAGAACTTTTGTATGAGTTTTCTATGTGATTTGGTTCTGTTGTTTTCAATAAGGCTTTAGAACACTGCTCTATCTCGATCTTATTTTCTTCTAGTTTGATAATGGTTCCATTGCTAAGATTGGTCATTTTAACTCTGGGTTTTTGTTTATTTCTCACGAGTAATCTAAAACCAAAGCGTATTTACAAAAATTAATACAAGAATTCATGACTTTTTTTTATTAAAAATTATAATAGCCTTAGTCTAAACACATTAAAAAAAAATTATGAGTGGGGACAGACTTTCTTGCAAAATAAAGCAAAACCATTGTTCACAGGAAAATCAAAACCTTAGAAGCATTGTACACTTAAAAGGGCGTCGCACCGGTAATGTTCAGTGGTAAAAACATGTTTAAGCGGACTGAAAATAACTTGCTTAATTTTGGTTTTAGAGTAAAAGCACCCATTATAAAATTAAAAGAGAACAATATTCCGGAGAGCAAGTATTTTTTACAATTAAAATAACACTGGTAGCGTCCGTTCAGTGTCAGCGTACATAACTTAAATTTGTCTCGTTTGGTTATCTATAATATTTATAATAAACGCTACTATACTGAATGTTACTTAACTTTTGCCATCACAACGGTTGTTATTATATTCTTCTCATAATATATACACTGAGAAAATGATTTGTTTGATAAGGTAAAACATTACAAATGGTATAAAGAAAAACTATAAAGCAATTTAAACAGTACATACGCTGTCTTTCAGCACATACACAAACACATATACAGTACATATATATTATTTCAATGTAAAGATAATAATTTTAAAAGAATAATATTATAATAAAATGTGCAATGACAGAAGCGTGATACAATCCACATTACCCACAACCGACAAAGTATATGCAAAAAAGCAATTGCACGTCCGTTCTCAAACATGAAGCCACTATTATCTAACACCCACAATGTTTATTAACAAATATTCAAATTGCACGTCTGCTGTGGCGTCAATCCTCATACATGATGACAATATTGTCTAAAATAAATACCCACAATGATAAGTTTTTAAATTTCACACAAGACACAATTTACGAATAATTAATCTGAAATATCCTCAGTGTTTTTTTTTTATAATACAAAACCATCTTCCTGAATCAACCAGAACATCAAAGAAATTCTAAATAATTTACAATATTCTTAATTTAAGAACTCAGGCTATTATAACGTAAATAGATGTCACTATTAACAAAAAAACAGTCGAAACCTTATCGTAAATTCTTATCAATTATTGATCCTACGACCACTGACGGCACATCTGACTATAACATTTTAAGTCAACATCGAATGTATGAAATTCATTTAAATGATTAAAAAACTCAATGTCTAACCTGTTAAACCGTAGAATACTAAAACATTTTTAATAAATAGAACCAATATTTTGCACGGTACTTACTATTACACAGCTATAGAACAATAATGTATCTCGAGGCTCTGTTCTCGTAAAACAGGTATAAAATCACTCACGAAGTCAAATTTGTGTCATGTATATGGATATACTTCATACAATATTGCATATTATTAAAAAAATTATTCATGTTTTATAGAAAGTTGGATGCCAAAACAACATTTACATTGTTACGTCATGATAATGATGTTTGTGTGTGTGTGAGTGTTTGTGTGTGATAGGGGTGATAACCACCGGCTGGAGATGCAATGCAGTGAAGGTAAACTGAAAAGCGCGGGCTTTTCAAAAATAGTCGATTTACGTCTAAATCAGTAGGGAATATTCTTTAAACATTATACTGCCCATAAAAATAGAATCCAAAAAAATTATCATAAACCTATTCCACAAGAACGTATAGAATTGTTTTCTTTATTACACATTTCAAGTAAAGTTTTTGGGATTTAAGTCTGAAAATTAGGCAGATTTAGAATGTTTACGGTTTATTAATATTATTAATATACCGTAATAATATTAATAAACTCATGTATTATATTGTTCGTGTAGACTTGTGTTATACTATCTTTATTGGTTTAAAAAACAGCTTTTTAGTACACGTCGGATAGGAAATATAACTTATGATGGCCTGCATATCGGTAGCGCGCTCTATAGACAGCGTAACGCGGCGTGACCGCTATGAGCCAGTCGAAAACATACACCGTCGAGTAACCTGTTTATCTATAACCGTGGCTAACACACACGTCATTATCAAAGATTCAGTGCGTGGTTGTATACCTGTCGTTTGACGTGGTTAGGGATCAGATCCTTGACAAACAATCTCATCGCATTGCTGTGTATTAGTAAGTATCGAGTAACATTATGGTTTTATTTATTGATTTTTAACAATTAATTAGATTACCTAGTGTATCGTGTGGGTAATGAATTTTAAACAATTTCAATGTTTTTCATACATTCGTTTGTCGAGTAATTTGACTAGTGGAGTGAGTTGTGCCGACAGTGGTCGTAGAAACGATAATTGATAAGAAGTTACGTATAGGAGTCGACTGTGGTTTTTTGGTTAATTTTGAGTTCCCTTGTTCCCTCTTTCCCTTGTTTATTTTCTTCTTCTACCTCAAAAATAGACTTATAATGATAATCGTCCGTTTCTCCTTCTTCAATTTTAATACCTCCTGCTTCATTAAGTCTAAAAAATGGAGTACATTTTTTTAATTAGTATTGATTCTTCTATATTTAAAATAAATATAATAAATAACTATAGATATACACTGTAGAAGTTTGGGAAAATATATAGGTATATAAAACAATAATTATCACTAAATGTAAATCCAACCGTTCATGTTATGGAAAAGTAAACAATTATTTGAATACGAACCAGACTGTCCTAAGACAAATACTTTTAAAATAACAAGTCTATTTCTCCAAGGACTTGTCACGAGATGTTGTAATGTAGGTAATTATTTTGTTACTACGGGAAATATGCCTCTTTGTGGAAGCATATTTTGCCTTAACAATATTTTGACCGCTCTCAAATTTTTTAATTTCACTATGATATTTGAAATCTATAACCTCAACAGATCCCTTAACCTACTCACGCAACGCCCTGAGAGTTGCGACACACAGTTTGAATATTCCAATATATCATTTAATTAAATCTCAATAAAATATAAAACGTAAAACTATCAGCTTATTATGTTCCAAAAAAGTTGGTGGTTATTTTTTTAAAATAAATTGGTTATATCTTTTTATATAAATTCACATTGAGTGTCAACTAATAACTTTTTTAAGATTTGACTTATTCATCAAACATAATTTAATAACAACATAGCCCTTATTTAATAACAATATGTTAAATAACCTATATGCATCTCCATCAATAATATTTTTATAATCGTTTTGGTTTGTCGTAGAACTTTTGTATGAGTTCTCCATGTGATTTGGTTCTGTTATTTTCAATAAGGCTTTAGAACACTGCTCTATCTCGATCTTATTATCTTCTAGTTTGATAATGGTTCCATTGCTATGATCGTCCATTTTAACTCTGGGTTTTTGTTTATTTCTCACTAGTAATCTAAAACCAAAGCGTATTTACAAAAATTAATACAAGAACTCATGACTTTTTTTTATTAAAAATTATAATAGCCTTAGTCTAAACACATTAAAAAAAAATTATAAGTGGGGACAGACTTTTTTTGAAACTTTGTATTGAGCGTTATACGAAGAATAATGAAAAAAAGGCACCGTCTTACCCTCCGAAATATTGTTTTCTTTCAATTTTATAATGGGTGCTTTTACTCCAAATCCAAAATTAAGCGAATTATCTTCAGTCTGCTTAAACATATAGAGATAAAAAAACCAGTACAGTTGGGTCGGGGCATAGTGGTGTCGGGGAGGTCACAGGTTTACAGAAATTTTTAAATCTGAAAGTGATAAAATTACTTTCGAAAAAACGCTTCGATGCAAATCGGTAGTTAGTATTTTCAAGTCAGTACAGTCCAAACCAAGCACAGTATAAACCAGCAAAGTTAGAAAGTTTTAAATGAAGGTTCTGTATTTACAAATGAGCATCAAAGCGTTAATTTGAAAGCGATTTTATCCGAGAGGACTAGTACAGTAGAGTATTGGCATAATGTAATTAAAGCAATGAGGAAACGGAGAGGTCACAGGTCTACAAGAATTATTATAAATAATAGTGATAAAATTGAATAAAATCGCTTTCAAATTAACGCTTTGATGCTCATTTGTAAATACAGAACCTTCATTTAAAACTTTCTAACTTTGCATGTTTATACTGTGCTTGGTTTAGACTGTACTGACTTGAAAATAATAACTACCGATTTGCATCGAAGCGTTTTTTCGAAAGTGATTTTATCACTTTCAGATTTAAAAATTTCTGTAAACCTGTGACCTCCCCGTCACCACTATGCCCCGACCCAACTATGCTCCATCCCCACTATGCCCCGACCCCACTGTACTGGTTTTTTTTGCAAAAACGTAGTGGACCAAATAACACAAAAACAATGTCTTGTTATATTTTGTTGGAATGGTCGACGATTCATGATTCAATCGTTTGTACTCCATAGTTTAAATTATAATCGCTTATTCTCAATAATATTAATATTTATGTATTATATACTTCCATTAGAGCAATCTCACACAAACTATTTATACTTCCTAGATTATATTATTTCAAAGCTATATTATACTTCTATTTAACTAGATTGACAATGTACAAAATAAAATGCAAATAAAAAAACCTTTTCATAGATCCTTAAAATGTAAAGGGTGGGATAGTGAAACGGGTTTTACCATTTAAATACATTAGAAAATCGCCGTTTTGCTGCCTTATCCTGTATATTAATTTCTTGTTATTTTCTAAAGAAAAATCGATTTTCTTACATTTAAATTAAAATAAATCGTATACTGGTACTATGATGGAGAAAACAAAAAATTTTACCTACATATATTACTTATTAGTTAAATATTATTAACGTGTATAGCCACTAGAGGTCGGCTGTTGCCTGTTATTTAACAATAACCTTTTATGGAGATTTTAAAAATTGTGTTTTTTTCATAATAGCATAGGAGCAGTATCATGATATTAAATGTGCACGAGATTTGATCTAGTCATAAAATAAAGTATTATCATTTATGACTTAATTATTATTAATATTTATCTTAATTTGTACATAGTAATAAAATAATGAAATATTTTATACAAAATTAGAGCTACAAGTTGACAAACTAAAAAATTAAAAATAGCACGAAGCAGATTATCTAATATTAGACAATTTAAACAATCAAACGTAAATCTCTTTAAATGAATAACAGTATAACAATATGCAAAACATTAGTTTTCCTTTAAAAAAATTGTGTAATAAAATATACATTTTGAGGCGGTATACTGCATAAAAACCAACACTTAATTTGAATCAAAAAAACAACAGTCCTCTTCTTAATTTGCAGGTAGTTGGACCTTATATATTCATAGTTGACCTTCGATAAGGTTATATAACGCAGGCTATAAAAAAACGAGATAACGACAGTGATTTTGTCATATCAGAACCATTAAGTGTCTTAATAAGTACAAGGATAGGTTTTTTCCCAGTAAATCGAATGTCTACTATAATCAGTTACACGATTTAGTCGTCTGTGATATCATGTAATAAACACAATATTATGATACCGATCATTGAGCCCTAACCTAATCTAACACGGATAGACGTTACCAACTAATAGTTGTTAGTGTCTGTTCGTTTATCCCATCTGGTACACCGGGTTTTTAGTTAAAAAAAAAAAAAATTGAATTTGTGTAAACTTAAAGTCAAAAGTGGTACTTGAGCACAAAACCTAATAGTATCATTCTGGATAGATATACATAAATTTTTTTTAATGATTTGATCAATTTTTTTTAAAGATTTTAAGTGTTTTTGTTCAAATATACGCAATCTGCGAAAACGCAGTTTCCCGGCAATTAAAAAAAAACTGTAGTGCCGAATTTTTCACCCGTTTAATATGTTATGGATACATATGAGTTCCAACTACTGGCAAACTTTCAACCCAAAAGTTTTAAAATTACAGTTAAAAACCCCAAAAAACAAAAAAACTTGTACCCCCCTAGGGGGGTGGGAAATGGGTATAGATTAAATTTGACACAACTGTCGTGTGCGGGCATACCAAATAATTATTTCTTATACGTTTCAACTCGATCCGACTCTTTTTCTCGAAATTATAGCCAATAAAAGTTCTAACTTAAAAACTCGTACGGTTTTATTTTTTGTTTTTTCAAATTTAGTCTGTGATGACTAAAACTTTTTCAACTTGTAACCCCCCAAAGTACAAACTAGATAAAATTTGTGATTTATAGAGTTGCTATTCGCAACTGCTCGCTTTGCATCGAAGCTAAAAACATTTTTAAATTGCTTTTAAGGATGCTGTGATAGTCTAAAAAATAAATTAACTACCAAAATAGAGTCCTAGTTATTGAACTCATAATTACACATCACAGTTTAACCTTTGAATTAATATTTTGTAAAAAATTGCCTGAACTTTACTCCTTAAAAATGGGCAGTGTGACGCCCTCTTAACTCGTAATAGATGACCACAATAATAATTTTCGGCACTTGAATAAGTTTTTATAACCAGTAAAGTTAATCCAAAATAATTAAAAAACAAAATACTACTTTAGTTAATTTAACTAAATAATACAAACATAGTTGTAATCGTTTTTCCTACACATTTTGAATTACTTTAATACGTATACATAAAATTAAGCGCCCATGACGGATGCCCGAGTATCAAACTAGTGACAGAATGTAACAAACCCAAACAACGCTGTACGCACAGGGCACTCCTCCTCTACTTAATAATAGTAATATCTGAACAATAACGATCAAGTAAATAATAACAACTTTAATAAAGCCAATACTACTACTTTTATTGATTATAATTATTTTAGATAGCTAACCAAGACAAATTTTATTTCTATTTACAGATACAAGACGGGCGCTAGTAGTATTTTTTACAATTAAAATAACACTGGTAGTGTCCGTTCAGTGTCAGCGTACATAACTTAAATTTGTCTCGTTTGGTTATCTATATTATTTATAATAAACGCTACTATACTGAATGTTACTTAACTTTTTCCATCACAACGGTTGTTATTATATTCTTCTCATAATATATACACTGAGAAAATGATTTGTTTGATAAGGTAAAACATTACAGATGGTTTAAAGAAAAACTATAAAGCAATTTAAACAGTACATACGCTGTCTTTCAGCACATACACAAACACATACAGTACAAATATATTACTTCAATGTGGTAAAGATAATAATTATTAAGTAATAATATTATAATCAAATATGCAATGACAGAAGCGTGATACAATCCACATTAGCCACAACCGACAAAGTATATGCAAACAAGCAATCGCACGTCCGTTCTCAAACATGAAGCCACTATTATCTAACACCCACAATGTTTATTAACAAATATTCAAATTGCACGTCTGCTGTGGCGTCAATTCTCATACATGATGGCAATATTGTCTAAAATACAAGCCCATATTGATTAGTTTTTAAATTTCACAGAACACACAATTTACGAATAATTAATCTGAAATATGCTCAGTGTTTTTATTTTATAATATAAAACCATCTTCCTGTGTCAACCAGATCATCAAAGAAATTCTAAATAACTTGCAATATTCTTAATTTAAGAACTCAGGCTAATATAACGTAAATAGTTGTCACTATTAACAAAAAAACAGTCGAAACCTTATCGTAAATTCTTATCAATGATTGTTCCTACGACCACTGACGACACTACTGACTATAACTTTTTAAGTCAACATCGAATGTATGAAATTCATTTAAATTATTAAAAAATCAATGTCCAACCAGTAAAACCGTAGAATACTAAAACATTTTTATACATAAATAAATAGAACCAATACGTTGCACGGTACTTACTATTACACAGCTATAGAACAAGAATGTATCTCAAGGCTCTGTTCCCATAAAACAGGTATAAAATCACTCACGAAGTCAAATTTGTGTCATGTGTATGGATATACGTCATACAATATTGCATATTATTAAAAAAATTTTTCATGTTTTAGAGAAAGTTGGATGCCAAAACAACATTTACATTGTTACGTCAT